TTTTATATAAATATTTGGTAATGGCATTATCTATACTTATTAAAATAAATAATTTATCATCAACTGTTATTCTACTTAATAAAACAATTCAATAAATACTTTGTTCATTAAATAATATGTATTAAAATAGTCAATGACAAGTTTTTCTAATAAAGAGTAATTTGTATTACTAAATTTGTTTGATTAGTAATAGTATTTGTTGTTTTAATTTCTCCTATTTTAATACTAGACATTTTATTTTTCTTGAGTGTTAGTTTTCTTAGAGTTATCTTGTCATTGTCTAAAGGTCGGCTATACTTGGAAAGTGTAACTTCAATTCCAATTCCAGAACTAAGAACGTTTCAAATAAATAAACTTAATCTTATGCCTTTTATAGATTTGTGAGGTGTTTATTTATAACACATGTTTAATTCTTGAGCAAGTTTAAATAATTACATTCATTTTTAATAGACTGGCAAAACATTATATTTCTAGGTTCTGAATTTGACAAAACTTAGGTAATTTATACTCCATAAAATATAATTATATATTATTTACTAATTTCTCTTAATAAACGAAACTCTTTTAACCTTTATCTTTGATAAACAAGTTGTTAAACAATAAATACTCTTTTTAAAAAATTAGTTGTTCAATTTAATGGTGTTTTATATGAGGTCTTTTAGTAACTGTTGACTTCTTTGATTTAAAGAAGCTCAAGTAAAGGATTAATATGACAAAAATAGCAACCATAACATATCCAAAGATTTGCCAATATCCTCTTAAAGTAATTGACCTTTTCTTCTTATGAACTTTATTGGTCATTTCATCGTACAGTTTACTTATTGAAGCCTCAAAAGATTCACGATCACTTTTTCTATTAGAAGTATGTTGAACAGCATCATTAATTTTTTTAGCATATTCTTGGGCTTGGTTCATTCTTAAAAGTCTCATTTCTTCAATGACTTTAAATATTTTTGTTCCCATAGTCTCCATTCTTAAATTAAACATTTGGAAATCAAAATAAAGGGCTAACTCTTTCTCGTATTTAGTTTTAAATTCATTGTATTCCTTTTCAATATCTTCTAAATTCAAATCAAGTTGATCTTCAAGCCATACTATTCTTCTTTCTACATCAACAAATATACTTTCAAGGTTTTCGATATCAATACCACTTGTTATATATCGTTTAAAATCATTTAATAACATTTCATACTCTTGTCTTTTTGCAATGATAGCAGCTTCACTTTCTCTTTTAGTTTGTTCTTTTTCACGTTGTTCTTTAATTTCTTCTTTAATAGCACTACTATTAAATATTGGAATTAGTTGAATAGTAGAATTTTCTATTTGAATAGAACTGACAAATCCTTTTTCAATGGAACTAAAGTAAATTGTGGCATTAGTATCTTTTTCCATTTTTTCAATAGAATATATTCTAACACTTCTTTTTGTTCCATCGATATCAGCAACAAACTCTAATTTATTTGTTTTACTTAAAGGAATATTATATACTTGATCCAATGTCACTTGGTGTTCATTATTTATAAATGGGATTTCTTGTTCATTAATTTTTATATTAATTGGATATGGAATAATATCAATAATATTCATTGGACTGTCTAACATATTGTCTAATGTTATTAAAGTTTTAGCACTTTCCATAAGATATTGGTCTCCACTTAAACGAATAGAATAATTTCCAACTGTTTGTTCAATGAGTTCTTTAACTCTAGGTGTATAACTTAACCCTCCAATAACAAAAATTGTAGCATTTTCATTTAATTCACTTTTAATATTATTTAAAACATTTTCTAATGGTTTTAGTTCATCAACAATAACACTATTAAATTGGTCTCTGGTTATTGTAACATTTTTTTCAAGTTCTTCAATAAACATAGTAATCTCTTGATTTGAAGATAACTTAACTCTAAGTTCATTAATTTGGTTCATGAAATTATGATTCTCTGAAACACCTCGTACTGAACCAACTAAACCAGCTAACTTTTTGTTTAATTGATGAATGGAAAGAGGAATGACATTACTAGAAACAATAGAAAATTGTGTTCCATTAATCATTTTAACTTTAGTAATAGCAGTTTCATGAGCACCACAATCAATCATAACATATTCATCTTTTATATCAATTACTTTCTTTAAGACAGCATCTAAAATCATTCCAGCATGTAACTTGTGTTTTGTAATAAATTGAACTTCTGGAAGAATAAGTCGAATACGTTCAATGTCATATGGAGTAAATGTAGATGGAATAATAAAATAAGATGAATGTCTAGAGTCTAAGCTAAGTAAATCAGTAAGAGAAATACGCGTATTATTTTCATTATCCAATTTATAAAACAAATTATCTATTTGTAGTGCCAACAACGAAGTAAAGTCTTGTTGGATAGTGCAATTTTCTATTTGTTCCATTTCATTATAAAGTGGTGAAATAGTATTTATCAGTTGATTGCCAATTATTGACTGTGCTTGTTGTCCGTAAATTAAGTCTTGGTGTTTACAACGATAAGCAATTTTAGAATAAACGTTTCTATTCCCATGACTGTCATTAAGAATATCTACTCTATTGTTAGAATACCAAGCAACTGAAATATGTTCATGGCCAAAATCTACAATTACAGCCCCTTGACAACAAGCAAGTAAAGTTATAACAATGGTAAATATAAGTAATCTTACCATTATTTCATTTTAAAGTTCTTGAAAATTCTTTTTGTTTCAGTTTTAGTTTTTTTTCTAAATTTTTATTATTTTTTATTATAAATTATAATTTTTATTTATTTTTTGTCAATTAATTAATTTTGATGATATAAAGTATTTTCGTTATATATAACAAATTAAAATATAATTAACAGATATTTCAAAGATAGAATTTTCTTCATAATGAGAAATGATTATTTCAGTGAATTCAATATGTTCTACTTTTATCATAGAGGTTATTTACAGTATATTACATATAAAAAGTACAACAAAAAAGAAGAAAGAAAAATAATCAATTGCTAGAATGAATGGTATACTTGATTATATGAAGAGGAGTCTTAACAGCAAAGAATACATATGGATTTGCAAACATATCAGTTTCATCTACAAGAATATCAGCTTCAACCCATTTTTGAGAATCAGAAATTCTTTTTTCAGGGGTGAATAAATAACCTTTAATTTGTCTCATCCGATCAGGGAAATGAACCTCAATTGAATTTAAGTGAATCAAAACACTAAATCCAACTTTTTCTAAAAGGTCTATTAGTTGAGTATCATAACAATCCCAAAAAACATGCCTTAAAGTTCCTTGTTCTTTCATCTGAAGACGAGCAATATCAAATTCGTTAGTAAGTTCAGGAGGAATAGAATAAATAATACTATTAAATAATGCCATCATCTTTTCGCAGAATTGATATAATTCATATTCAATATCTTTACATAATTTTCCTTTACCACTAACTAAGTCAGGTTCCATGTATAATCTTAACATATTTTGAGCATGTAATTTTAAAGCAGGTGGATAACTACCAAATAAACTAGAAAAATCAAATTTAAAGATACTTTCCGTTTCTGGAATGAAAGATCCTGTAGTAATTCCTTTGAAATTTTTATCTAATATTACACCACAATTTACTTTTGGTAATGTTCTATAAACTTTTGCTGGAGAATGCATCATTGTAGCTACATCAACTCTCTTTGAAGAATATGGTAAATAAGGATAATCAGCTAGAGTAACAGGTATAAAACTCCAATTTTTCATTGAAGAGTGCATAATATATTCTGGATGTTTAATAACTATCTCAACTAATTGTTTTGATAAAGAAACTTCAATATTTTTAATTAATTCCCTAGATTTTATTAAAATAATAGCATGAATAGTAATATTAAGAGTAGGTGAAATAATTGCATGATCTATTCCTTTTAATAATTCAAGGAATTGGTCATAACTAAATTTATAATTGAAATACATATGTTGATAAAGATTTTGTGATATTCTAAACCATGTATTTGAATCAAATGTTATATTTGAAAATGGGTTTAATATATTTCTTTCTATTAATTCTGTTACATCTACATCTTCTATTCCACTTGATGTTGATGTAATAAAAAGAACTTGTGGAGTATCTTCTTTACAATAACTTGTTGGGACAATACTGGTTCTTAGTTTTAAATGAAGTGTTGGGTTATAATAAGTAAAACAAGAAAATGGATCAATTCTAGGATAAATAATTTTAGCTTTATTAAATGAATAAGTAATTTGATCAAGTCCTTCTACTTCAAATGCTTTAATACAACGTGCAACAGAAATACTTAAAACAGTATAAAAACAGTCTTTTTTCCAGTCATTAGAAGGTTGACATCTCATTAATTCTTTTGCATATAAATTAAATTCTTCTCCTTTCTGTCCTACTAGAGTAAATTTTTTAACAATTCCATTTTGAAATCGTTGAGGAATTGCAATAATTTCTGCAATTTTGTCATATGAACGTATTTGATCAAAAGTAGTTAATGGAATAGAACAATCAAAGTCATGTGTTTCTAATCTATTTAAATTATATTCAATCAATGATGAAACTTTTTTAGCTTCATTTTCCATTCCAATTATATTAACAATATATTCATCTTGATTTATTGTTATTGATAATTCTTGAAGGAAAAATGATCGTTTTAATGTAGCAAAAAATAATGCTCCTTTCTTACATAAGAAACGCATTTTAGCAATTTGATTTGTTTTAAATGAAACATTAACTATTTTAATAGGTGAAAGGAATTGAATCAATACCTTGCATAATTTATCATCTGTACAAAGGTCATTTACAAATGTATGTACAGCATCTGTAGAAACTACACAAAATGGTAATCCTGATATTAGTGCTCTTAATTCTAATGGCATAATTTTAATTGTTGAATTGTATTTTTGTATTAGTTCTTTACTACTTTCGCAACTAACAAAGTCTGTTAATGCTGTAACACGATTTTTAGCAATTAACAATGCACGTTTTCCACATGGACCGACATACTGATATGAATTTTCTCTAGTAATATTTTCTGACCCACTTGTAATTGTAATATATCCTAAATGATTCATTCTTGGAGTAAATAATGTTGGGGCACTAAATTTAACAGGAACATAATCCAATTTCTTAATAAAAATTGCTAATGAATATAAGCAACGAATTTTTTCTAATAAATCTGGTGTTTTAAAATGTAATTGTAATGTATTTGGTTCAATAACAACTATTTCACATTGAATTAAATTTTCAATATTTCCAACTCTTAAAAAATAATCTATCGCTGGTAATGAGACTGGGTCAAACATAAAATGTGTTAGTGTTGCTAATTGTTTAGCTATTTGTTCAGCATTTGTACTGTTACATGTATGAAAATCTCCTATTAATACATTAGAACTAAATTCTAATGAAAATAATGTATTTAACTTTTTTGTTATTTCTGGATTTCCTTTATTTATCAATTGAACAATTGCTTCTTCAGTCATTTTCTTCTCTCCTTTTTAAGTTCTTTTTTTTTTCTCCTTTTTTAAGTTTTTTTTTTGAAGTTCTAACTACAAATGTTTATCCCTTTTGATTTTATACAACTCTGATACAAAGAAAAAGGTAAATAATCTTAAAAATAACATTTGTGGATGAAAAAGAGATCACACGAAAAGGTTATTAAATCAGTTGAAACAAAAAAACAAGAACTTCCAAAAATTCTTTCTTTCTGGGAAAAACAAAAAATGTTCTTATTCAATTTAAACCAAAAATTGTCTGATGTTTGTGAACTCGTTAAAGCTCATTGCTCTTTTTTAGAGGAAAGCCAAATTCATCAAATCACAGGATTTAATAGTTTGTCATTATTTTTTATATCCATTGTTTATAATGAAAAATACTTATATTCATAGAAAATTGTCATTCAGAACACATTTTAGAAGCAATTTCTTTTATTGGAAGTGGGTTTGATATTCTAAAACAAGAGATGGTTTGTTCGAATAACAAAGCTGATGAAATAATTAATGAGCTTAAAAATATGAAAAAATTATTTTATTCATCAAAAAATTCTGAAACATTAACTTCTACATACTATAACTTAAATGAACGAATTAAATGGGAAACTCCATTATTATTTTCAAATATTTTTCATGGATTTCAAACATTATTTACCACAGGTGATTTATTTTTTAGTTGTAATGATACATTGACAATGATTACTGAACAAGCACAAAAAGCAAAACAAAATTATGTTATAAAAAATGTAGAACCAAAGCCAAATGTTTTGTATTGTGGTACTAAACTAAAAGAAATATTAGAGTCTGAAGGAAGACCTTATTACCAATTACCTCGTATGATAGAGAATATCTTAATTTATTTATATAATAAAGGATGCACTACTCATGGAATTTTTAGAGAAACTACTAATGCTTCTATTCGAGATGTTGAAGAAATTTATCATCGAATGGGTGTTACTGATTTTGAAGATCTTCCACCTGATGTTGTTGCTAATGTATTTAAAAAATTTTTAAGAGAAATGAAAGAAAAAGTATTTCCATATGATGTTTCAATGTATTTATTAAAAGAATGGCAAAAAGGAAGAGCAAAAACAAGAACAACTTCAGCAGAAAAAAGAAAAATTGTACTGGAAGGATTAAAGATGATGCCACCAGAAAATGTGACATTGTTAAGAAGTATTTTAAAATTATGCAGTAAAATTGATTCAATGTCTGATATAAATGCAATGACTAATAAAAATTTAGCTGTTTGTTTAGCACCTACTTTAATGACAGTTAGTGAAGATGCAACTCCAAGAACACTAGATTTAAAAACTGGAGGAGAAATTGTTGGGTGTATTGAAATTATTACTTTTATTTTAATTGATTATCCTCATATTTATCCAAATGATGTTGATGTTAATGTTACTCGTAGATCAAGGAGAATGTCTCAAAGACTTGTTACTTGTCTTGCTGAAGGAATGAATGAAGAAGAAGAAATTTATAAAGGAATAGAACAAATAAAGAAAGGAACACAAGAAGAGTCTGACATAGCAAAATCTAGAGAAGAAACAAACCCTCCTTTAATTCCTAAGCCATTATTAGATGATATTCGTATGGGATCTCCAATGTTAAAAGAAACAAGACAAAATAAAGAGAAAGGAACCTCTTTATTAAAAAAGAGGTGTTTTGCTGTTAATTTGAATTTAACTCAACAAGACAAAAAAGAGTTACTGAAAGAGAATGATATTATTCAGGAAAAAGATGTAGAGAATAGTTCTACCGTTAATTATGATATCTCTAATCCACCACCTGTTCCCCCAAGAAGAGGGAATTTAAAACAAAAACAATCAATTTATCCCAATTCATCTAACTTGGATATAAATTAAAAACCTTCTGTTTTAAAAATTCATTTTATAATATTTTAAAATCATTTGAATATTTATATTTTTAGTAATTATTTGCATATTATTGTCAAATTCATGAATTATTAAAAAAAAGTGAGAATAACTTTTGTATTAACTCATATAAGGGTATAAGTGTCATTTATATCTTTAATTATATCTGCTGTTTCTTCATTCTATTTAATGTAATATTATTTACTTGATCATTTAATTGTTCTATTAATCTATCTATCCCTTTTTCACTTTATTTCATTAATATTCTGGTCATTACACTTTTTCTACTGTTATGTTCCTATTTCTTTCATTGTTTTATTAAGGTTATATCTTATTATTCTTTCATTTTTGGGATTCTTTTTATCTTCTCATTAATGTTGTTATTACTTATGTTATTATTTATAATTTCTTTGATTTATTCTAACTGAAGTTATTTCTTTTATTTTTATTGTTCTTGGCTTTTTTTTGTTTAATTTGGTGTTTCAGGAATGTTATTTTTTTTATTTCATTTATTCAGATGTTTTTATTATTTCATAAATAAATTCAATTTTCATCCCACTTAATAATAAATTTATTACCATTAAATTCTATCAAATCAAGTGACTTTAGTGTCACAAAATAAAGAGTATGATGACACATAGATAAAACAAAATAACTCATTAAAGTTAGTCACACACCATAATGAATAAAACAAATAGAACAAACTATTATCTAAATAACTAAATTAATTTGAAAGAGTAATTTTATTCATTCAAAAATTAAATTGATTTATTTACTTTGTTATAAATTCATTAAATGAACAATCTCTGTGATTATGCTTTTAAACAATTATAAAACTTATAATCAAAATGAAGTTGTATAAGATTAGTTAGTCTCTAAAAATAAATTATGATATTATGTTAGTTAATCTATCAAGAGAAGCAAAAAGAGAGGTCACAATAAATATTGGTTATGAATCCAAAGAATAGTTGATGTAATTATTAGGTAATAGAGTGTTATGTCATCATTTAATGAATATAATGAAATTGATATTCTAGTTACTCTATAATAAAGAATATTTTTAAATATACAATTATTGTTTATGTATATTTTTAATGACTAATATAAACAAACTCATTATAAAAAGAATAGATAGATAGTTGTTTAAATATTCAATTTCAAATAAATCAAATAATGAATTTATCATTAAGATAAATATGTTTTTGATTGAAGATGATGAATGATTAAGTTATTTATGAAAATAAATGTTCATTGATAATTCTGGTTCTTCTTAATGTTAATGTGAAAATGTTCTCTGTTATAAATGAATATGTTGTAATTCTAAGATGATTAGTTCAATAAGAAATGTTTTTGTTTATATCATTTGAACATAATACATTTATTTCCAAATCAAAGAGAAATATAAATAAACTGTTTGGATTAATGGAATGAATAAGTAATAAAGAACAAAATAGATATAATATACAACATTTGTTGTTTTATAAATCAAATAGAACATTTATTGTTTCATTAATCACAGTCAATGTATTAATTCATTGTTTCAGTGCATTTCAACGCATTAAATTATTTTAATTTTCATCCTGTATTTCATTTAAATTATTTATTGTAATTAACGAAAGTTAAATATGAAATGATGTAAACATGTTATTAAATTAATTTTATTATCTCATTCTACTAACAAAATTAGTGAATTGTCCCCATGCATTTCCATCATCAAGAAGTCCTCTTGTCATTCTCAAATATGTGAATGCTGTTAATCCATGTTGTTTACATTTATTGATGATTTGATTAAATCCATTAGTGTTACATCCTCCATATCCACATAATTCAAGTGCATTTTCTCCACATTTTCCAATTCCAACTGTTCCTGCTGCATTAAATGCTTGATCAACTAAATTAGCTGGTGATGATCCACAACTTCCATCAGTTCCACTCATTTCAAGACATGTAAAATCAAATCTAACATTATTATTTTTGAATGTATTAGAAAGTGTTTTGTATGCATCATTTCCATTTGAGTTATAATATCCAGCTGTCATTTCTGCTGCATGTGATTGATCATTATACCACCAATGAACTCCTGATATTTTACCTGCAAGTGCAAGTGTATTTCCAAATACATTTCTTGCTGCTGAAAGAACTTTATCTGTGTGACTTAATAACAGGTCAAAATACCATTCTTGGAAGAATCTTCCATATTCACTTTGATAATTATCAAATCCATTTCCAAAGAATCCTGTTGATGATGGTGGTTTAGAATTATAATTTCCTGCATTTGATGGTGATCCATTTCCCCATTCTGAATGTCCTTTAGCTGTTGCTGCTTTTTTAAGTAATTCTTTTGATTTACCATCATTACATTGGAATTCTCCTACTCCACAATAACTCCATCTTGAAAGTGGATATGATGGATACCTTGTTTCTCCACATGGTCCCATACCTACTTGAATTTCATTAATTGTTCCATCATCAATATAACTTTGGAAGTTTTGTTTAAATGAAGTCATGAAGTCTTTATAAATTTCAATTGGTGTTCTTCCTTCAAAAATAGATGAATCATCATATGCAAATGAAATATATTCATTATTAACATTATTTTCATTATCTTTAAAGAATGCATCATTTGCTGCTCCTGCATTTCTTACCCATTGTGGAATTTCAATTGTTACTGAATCTCCTACATTTCCTCCACATTTATGGAATGACATAACTGCTTGGAATTTTAATCCTGCATTTTTAACCATTTGAACTAATTCTTTATATCCATTCCAATTGTAATTTCTTGGTGATGTTTCTACAAGTCCCCACCAAACATCTGCCATGACACCAGCAACTCCTCCTGATTTAATTTTATTTAAATCATTTTGAAGTTGTCCTTTATTATTAACTCCATTAGAATTGACAGTATCAAGTGGCATCATCAAATTGACTTCAGTAGCCAATGTCAAAGTAATAACACTTAAGAAGAATATCATTATTTGATTAATTTCAGTTTTGTATGGTTTAAATCATTAATTTTCATGAAAAATATTTAATATTACTTTTCAAACGACTTTTCATTTTGATGAAAAAACTTATTTATTTATTCTTTTTACTTTTGAATTTTCTTTTTTC